CACCATAATTTGTGGAAATTTGCATCACACTTAGCTAGTTCTGAGCATCTAGGCCTCACTCATGATTTCGATTGAGTGATAGGCGGACCGCGTGGCTGCACCGGAGCTAGCCAGCGTGCTGGGCATGCCATGCTTATGCTCATGCTACCGACCCATATATGTTGACAACATTGGCCGGCATGGTTTCATAAAGCTTTCATTACTTTCAATTTTAAAACGACCGTCTTAGGATTTTAGCTAACATTCCCATTCCAAAACATTCACAAAATTTCAAACCCAAAACCTAATTTTCGTGTAATTTTTCCAAAAATTGAAAAAAAAAAAAAAAAGAACTTCAAGTTTGATTAAACTCCTGACCTTGTTAATTAAAAGTAGGATTTCAAGAATATTTTTCTCTAATATATAACTCCCTTTCAGTTTATCTTTTAAGTACTCTTATTATAGGTAAAGCATATATCTCTTTCTGCTATTCTTTTTCAAGGGTTGGGTCATGTGCACAGATTTTCGAAAAGGCATATATAGGAATATTGGACATATATAAAGTAATGTGTATGTATGATGATACGTACATAAACAAGTTATTTATCATTATATTATATGAATATATATATGTGTTTTATTTTTGTTTTTCTTAAAATTTTTTACGTAGATTTTAGATTAAAATAGATTTTTACTTTTAAATTTAATATTTACATTGTGACAATTTTTTTTAATAAAAAGTTAATGTATTAGTTTAATTGTTCACTTATGAACAAGAATTAAAACCAAATAATAGTTTATTTATCTGGTAGAAAGTCAATGTGCTGAATTGAATCCATGGATTATACAACTGCCTGCTAAATCTTGGTTTTTTTTTTTATATAAAAAATTTAAAATAAATACGATATTCAATCTTTCAAATCAAAACGATCTTAATCTGTTAATATTATATATATAATGCATTGTCTCATTAATATATATCTCTTGGTCAAGTCAGCAGTGAATCTAAGATGCTCCAATTGGTTCATTGCATTCATCCAAAAAGGCATGGCAGATTGATTTTCTTTATAAACTTGTTTCTTTTTTAATCTCAATCTCAATTTCTATACAATTCTTATTAACAGAAAGTAACTATGGTTATACTTCGTAATAAGGACAAAAATCCCGTTTAGAATACCGACATAGCTGTTTGGATAACATTTTTTTTTTCGAAACCTATTTCGATTGAGTATTTAGATAAAGCATTGATCATCAATTTCATTGGATCTAAATATAGGAATTTGGCCATTAATGGTGTGACAAATGTCTGAATTTACATCTTAACAAAATGGGGAGGCTTCCCTTCCCAACAATCCTTCAAGAGCTGTCGATTGAAGCCAAACACAGATGATATTCTTGTCAATCATATAAGTATACGTTACAGTGCATCCGTCGGTCCTTTTTTCAATATTTAAAATTATTAAAGTTAAAAAATTTAATATTTTATCAATAAATCTAATTCTTATGATTAAGTTGATCATTTACTTTACATTAATTGAACATTGCCATACGTGTGAAAGGAATAAAAAATAAAAATATTAAGAGTTTATTTAAGTAAACGATATGATTAATTTTAATAAAATTAAAAATAATAATAAATGTGAAATTAATTAATATAATAATGAGATAAAATTAATTATAAAATAGGTGTTTTAATATAAAAATAACAGTGGTAATGCAAAAGCTAATATGAGAAGAAAAAATTATATTAAAATTAATATATATAATAAATTTATTTAAAGTTTAAATATAATAATTTTTATATTTAATGTCTTTAATGCATTGGATTAAGTTATTTACTTACATTAAATTAAAATTTTAATATATTTATTTATTTTTATTTTTATTTTAATTATTTATTTAATTATGAACATATATATTCATTTATTTATTAATTTATTATAATAAAATTTATTGATTATATCATACTAATAAAATTATTTAAAGTTTTAAAATAAAAAATAAAAACATAAAAAATGCATTATATAGTAAGGATAAAAAAACATGAATAATATTAAAAAAAAACTGCAGTAAAAAAAAAAGTTCGGTGCAATAGAAATAATCTCATCTTACAGGTTAACTGCATCTCACCTGTTCATTTTCCGACAAGTAAACAATGGATAACCTTCACTGCCTTTCCGTTGGTAGGCAAAAGAAAGGCAAAGGATTAAAAAAAAAAAAAAAAGCAAAGAGAGAAAGATCAAAGTAAAAAAACAAAAAACCTTTCTCAATCCAATTTTAAAAATGTAATTGTGAAATCTCAGTCTGTGTCTCTAGCATTCGATGAGTGATGCCCCCACACCAAAATTCACCTATCCATAAACTATTCCCACTACCCATGTGCCGTGACTCAATAAGTGGGGTTTTCCCTTTTTTTTAATTTTTTTCTTATATTTGCACCACCAAAGTTAAATGTTAATTTTATTATTATTTTTTTTTAACAAATCTTATGCATATGATTTCATAGGGGCATGGAACCATGCACGACCATCATCATCATCATCAGCTCTGCTTCCAATTAGTCAACCCTCATTCATCCTGGTCAACTTCAAGTGACTCTCCTGGCCCTTTCCTTACGCTCAAAGCATCACATCTCCTTGACTTTTGCCACATATTCTTCTCCTACCAATAACTTTGCTTTTTCTCCTATCTGCCTATTTCTTTGCTAAGGTGATTTCTCATGCTTGATAGTTTATTACTATATATATATATATATATATGAAAGCAGGATTAATTAACCTTTATGTAATTATGTGCAAAACTTCTTTTAATTTTAGCATTTGAAATTGTTAAATATTAAATTTTGATAATTAAAATTGAATCCAATATTTTACTCTTAAATAGATAAATACAAATACTTATAATTGAACTAAATATTCCAGTGGCAAAATGAATAGATTTGAAAAAAAAAAAAAAAAAGGGAATGGTGCAGAAAGAAGTACGATATTTCGGCTATACATGGTGGTCAAAATGGCTGGAATTTTGTTTAGGAAGTGGAGAAGAATTTGGGAGTTGTAAATTTAAGTTCACATTTGGTTTGTTTTGCAAGGGTCTTAATTTTTCCGCCATTAAATTGCATGTGCTAAACCTAAGCATCAATGCTACTGTTAGGCTTCTGTCACCTCCCTTATATATATATTTTAAAGTTATTATTATTATTATTTTTTTAAAAATTTAAGATAAATAGATTGTTCAATCTATCAGATCAGAATAAGATGTGTCGTATCTAATAATTTAAAATAAATAACTATAAATCATGTATTCGAGATGATCTCAATAAATGATCATCTGTAAATCATGCATTTAAAATGATCTCAACAAATGATCATCGATAAAACTCTAATTAAAATCTTTACGTAAAAAAAAAACGAGCCTTAATCAATATTACTAACTTCTTTTGTCTTTTTTTCATATGCAAATAGCACATATTGTCCTACGTTAATACTATATTAATCATAAATATAAAATACAAATATGAAAATCTGATGGTGTGAAGCCCCCAAACTCCTCATCACCTCCCCTTAATTAAGGCCAAACATTTAAATGAACTAATGTATTAATCTTTGTGTTTTATTAATAAAGAGGAATGGATAAACCAATTAATGCTTAGTTTTAAATGAATCTATTAATGACATTAATGTACATTTTTACAGGTCTGATTAGCGAATTTTTATAAATATTGTTTAAAAATAATTAAAATATTATTGCAAAAAATATTTGTTTTACATCTGATACTTTATTTTTATTGAATTCAAGAAAAATAATATATATTAATTACATATTTCTTTCTTTAAATATCACTTCAATTAGTGTCACTAAACTCCAATTATCATTTTTTTTTTGTTTTTAAACAAAATTGAAAGTTGAAAATAATATTGATAGCATCATTATATACTATCGATTTGATTGGCTATGGACCAAATTCAGTCTTCAACTTTTACCATATCCTTTGCCTAATGGTAAAAGAGAGGGGATAATCTCTTTCTTCTCCAACTTTTTTATTTCTATTTGCATTAAAAAAGACTCCTCACTTGGGATGCTCATGACATATAGCATATTGGGGGGGCACATATTCTTTGAAAATGATCAAGGAATTATGCACCAAAAGAGAAAATCATCAAGGAATTAATATTATTAAACCCAATTAACAAATTATTATTAAAAAAAAATCTCTTGAACCCATTCCTTTTCAATTGATAAGGGAGACATTAAACCAATAGCTAGCAGTCAAAATATGTTCTACAACTCATCACAAAATGTGAATTGCCAAATCAATGGGGAGGGGGGATGTCATGATAACAAAAATGCTGTGTTTTTCTTCTTCTCATAAAGTCATTGGGCCAAATTAATAATAGGCACAAGAACAAACCAACTAATAAGAAAGAGATGAAGCTTATAAAATTTCAACAAGGAAAAGGCCAACAATGATATGACCTTGATTCATTGTAGAAAAATAAAAAAAGTGTTTCTTCGCTTCCAAACAGACCAGAAAAGTTTCTTTTAACAAACTCAGATATTATATCTTTTGATTTGATTATGAGTTTATATTTGTTTGATAGTATATAAATTTTATTTATTATTGATCAATTAGATATTATTTTTTATTAACGTATATATATTAATTTTTAAAATAAAAATATATAAAAAAAATTATTTATTAATAAGATGATGTTATATTGTTTATTTCGTTAATAAAATTTAATTTCGACAAAATTCAATTTTTTTCCTTTTTACAATATATTTTACACCAATAATCTTTCCACGCGCTTTTGAAGCCTCTGCAATTTAAACCAGAATAAGACAAACAAAAACTCCGGTTAGTTCATTCATCACGCGCTGTCAGTGCATCTACTGGAACTCCTCTCTACTCTCAAACTCTTCCTTTTTTTTTTTTTTTGGTAATTTTTAATTAAAAAATTTAAACTATTTGCAATGGTATTGCTATTTGTATAACGGCTTCAACATCCCACGAGCCTCACACCTGCAAAATTTCATTCTTCCTCTCTTTCCATTATCCTTATCTCTGCAAACTCCAACCTTCTATTATTTCTCTCTCAATCCAATTTCTCTTTACAAGTTTTTCTTCCAAGGGTATAGCCTTTTTCATTTATTTCAATTTGATCTTCTTTCTAGTTTCTTTGCCAAATAACGAAATTCATCATGGCTCTTGAAACTTGGCTGATTAAAGTTAAGAAAACGATATCCAACAGCCTGGATACTGCAAGATCTTCAATACCCAACTCAAAAATTTCAAAGCATAAATCAAACGTCGGAGTTTTATCCTTTGAAATCGCTGGCCTTATGTCAAAGCTTCTCCACCTTTGGAATTCTCTTTCAGACAAGAGCATAATTCGTCTTCGTGATGAATCAATATCTCTCGAAGGAGTCTGCAAAATTGTCTCCAACGATGAATCGTTCCTGTTGGGGCTCGCTTGCGCGGAAATGGCTGAAAACCTCAGGCTGGTAGCGAAATCTATTTCCAGGATAAGCAAGAGATGCCAGGATTTGAATCTTCAGTGTTTCGATCGGTGGTTTGATGAGTTCGCCAACTCGGGTCATGATAGTCATGGCTGGGTTTTGAGTTCCAAAGATATGGAAGCTAAAAACAAGAAGATGGACAGGTACGTGACTATTACGGCAACTTTGTATAAAGAAATGGAGGAGTTATCGACAATTGAGAACAGTTTGAGAAAGTCTTTTCAGTGTAAAGAATATGAGTCTTCAATCAAAGAGCAAAAGATTATCGATCTACAGCAAAAGCTTTTGTGGCAAAGACAAGAGGTTAAGTATTTAAAGGAGAGATCCTTATGGAACAGAAGCTTTGACATGGTTGTTTCCATGCTTGTGAGGTCGATTTTCACTATTTTGGGAAGGATAAAGCTTGTTTTCGGGATTGGTCATGGCTATCCGCCTTCTTTACCTCGAAGTCTCTCCGCTTCTGCAACTGTCCATCCAACTGAAAACCCTAACGCTTGTAACTTTGTATCAGGGCCATTAGAGAGTTCTAAATGTGAAGAAAAGAGAGATATGGCTGTCAGTTTTTTCGAGTTGAACTCAAAGCTTCTGAAGCCTCCGCCAAATACGTTAGGTGCTGCAGCTTTAGCTTTACACTATGCGAATTTAATTATCATTATGGAGAAAATGATCAAGTCACCACAACTGGTTGGCGTTGATGCAAGAGATGATCTTTATTCCATGCTTCCGAGCAGTATTAGATCGTCTCTAAGGGCTAGACTAAAAGGAGTAGGGTTCTCAGCGGGTGATCCAGTGCTTGCCGGAGAATGGAGAACAGCTGTTGGAAGGATCTTGGGCTGGTTATCACCAATGGCACACAACATGATCAAATGGCAAAATGAAAGAAGCTTCGAGCAGCAGAATTTGTTGCCCAAAACAAATGTTCTTCTTTTGCAAACGCTATTCTTTGCAAATAAAGAGAAGACAGAAGCAGCCATCACTGAGCTGCTGGTGGGTTTGAATTACATTTGGAGATTCGAAAGGGAAATGACAGCAAAGGCCTTGTTCGAGTGCAGCAACTTTAATGGGTTGTTGAATTTGCAAAGTTCCAGCTAAGCAGAGAGATGGGCTTAATTTATTGTTTCTTCCTTTTTGGGCTTTAGTTTTGTTTCCTTATATTTTCTTCATGGTTTAATTATTTTAGATTGAACTGAGTTTCAGATGTTTCCAGGGTTTGTTTTGCAATTCGAACCCCTGCTCTGTATATGTTTTTTATATATATATATATGTGTATGTAAATGACATGAATTGAGTAAATTTTCAAAATATTGCACGTCCTTTTCATTCATGGCCTATTGTCATGTGAAAATATTCCTCTTATTTCAATTCCTATACATATTGTTTTGCTTTGTTGTTGTTATTAGAACCAAATCCAAATGGATCCAGATCCATTAGCTTATAGAGTAATTTAATTATTTCGTTAGTCAGCGAGCAGCTAGCTGTTAGACCAGATTGGAATGGACCCTACTACATGGAATCTTGTAGTAATATTATTTCTATTTCGTCATGATATGACTTGACTCACTCAATGGTTTGCACATAGTAGCCTATATATGTCCGATGGACATAACACCTACTGTATACATATATAACTGCTGGATTCTTAGACTTTAGGCAAAATGTATATAAATTCAAATGACTTTTACGTAATAGGAAAATTGGGTGACTTTTGTTTTTTATAGGAAACTTTGGGGTATTTAGTATCAAGGTTATTCTACATTGATTGTAAAAGGATTGATGGTCACTTTATAAGACGTAGAGAGAAACTGATTACAGTGATATTAAAAATAATAATAATAATTATTATAATTATAATTAAAAAAAATTTAACAAAAAATTTATAGTGAATTAATTTTACTAGAGTTAGCATTTGAATTTAATTTATGATATAATAAATTTAATTCAAAAATACGATGAAATTCAAATTGACACTAAATGTTGAAAAAATTTCACCTTTTAAATTAATTTTAACATTGAAAAACTTTAAAATCACTTAAAATCTAGTTCCCCAAATTTTATCTAAGTATATTTGGTGTGTAAAATTTGGTCATCTGATTAATAACATTATTATTGCTAGCTCAATTAATTTCATGCCTAGTTGGATCTTTTATTTAGCAATAAAAGGAAAAAAAAAAGTCAGTTGGATTTTTTAATTTATGATGAAGGATGTAGCAGGAACAAAGACAAAATCCTCCACCCTTGCCATCTCCTTTTTGTTCATGTCTTTTGTAGTTTTTATTTATTTAGTATAGTTTATATTTTCCTTTGTTGATTATACAGCTCATAGCTTCACAAATGTCTGATTAAGATTCAGTTCAGTTCTCTAATAAATGTTCCCACCTTTTTGTCTCCCTTTAGGGCCCCTGTAACCCATCGTGTACAAGCGGTCGGTTTCTAAATTCTAATACTAATATCCGAAAGATTAATGTTAAAGAGATGAGATATTTGGAAGCCAGGCAGCCTGCAGACTCATCAAACATAATTCCCCAGCTAAATCCAATTAAGTCCTGATCTAATCCAAGACAAGGAATGAGAGTGCAAAGTGCATGTGTGCACCTTCAATTTGCAAACTCTCCCTTATTTGGAGACCAAAACAGAGTTCCCCAACCAGCAAATAAGTTTTCATCTTCTTTTGCAAGGGAGAAGGCAGAGTTTCTTCATCTGATCCATAGCAATTGTTAAAGCCCCTACACTCCAATCCAGTAATACAGTATACCTAAACTCCAGTAGTGATAATTCAAGACTCAACTCTTGCTTTCATCCAAAACTAGATTTGGGGTTAATACAGTACCATTATTAACATGAGACACCGGCGAGGGAGGAAACGTGAAACAAGAGTTGGGAGGTTCATTGGTCATTGGGTTTTGTTTTTGGAAATCTTTGCGAGCACAGATTCCTGCTCCGTGCTGATCCTCGAAGCTGCACACCCCTTGCCTTTGGAACCATGCTTTCTTCTAACTCCATCCTTTTGCTTTTTTCCCTCGTCTATTTCCTTCATATATCTATCTACCTATGTTTCATAAAAAATTTTGTAGTTTTTCTTCTTTTCTCGTGAATTTTGAAGATATTGAGATTTTACCTGGTAACTGAAGCACATCTAAAGGAATAACTAAACTGCAACTCTGCTTGGAATTCCTCCGCTAAAAAACAACGAATTAAAATTATATTTGGCGTATAAAATAATGAATAACATAAGATAATAATATTTTATATCATATTGGATTTATATTTAAAAAAAAGATTACAAGAAAAATTAATTATTTTTCTTGACATAATATGATTCAATCATTTTAAAATAGAGATGATTATTCTTAATTTATAAGATTAAATTGATATTTTATTATATTTTTAAAAATTATATTAATAATTTAAATTATATAAACTTTTAAAAAATAATTTTTATTAATAAATAAAATATTTTATTTTAATTCTAACACAAATAAAGCACAAGACAAAAAGATATTTTTAATTTAATTTTATTTATAATATCATCTTTATCATACTTATCATAATCTTTTACATTAAACTCAACTCATGTTACGTTTTTTCAAAGGAATAAAAAAAATTATCAAAGACTAAAATTACTTGTAAAAGCCTGGGTTGGTTCATTGCAATTGGTCCAAACTCTGGCTCGACAAATTATGGCCCAGCTCTAGGCTCCCATTTTTCTTTTGGGTGTTTCGCGAAAGAATGTTTTAACCGTCAAATCTGAAACTGAAAGTAGCAAGTATTTACTCCTAATGATAATAATGCTAAATAAAGTTAGTGACGACCACTACGAGCGAGGTTTGACCTACCAAATCAAAAATCAAGTGCTCTCGGCTCTCAGATCTCTGTTAGACACGAGGTAGACAGAGAGCACGTGAGCCTAACCTTTTCAGGCTCAGGAATGGTGCAGTTCGGAGGTTTGGTTTTGTAGCAAAATCCTCTCAATACATAGGAAAAAAGTGCATACAAAGACAAATGTACAAGGGACCATTGAAGCTATTTCGGAATGGCAGAGAAGAAGCCGCAGGGCATTCTAACAGAAGGAAAATCGGGCAGCCACCTTCAGTTCCATTCCTCCAAAGAAAGATTGGAAACAAGAGGCTACTTCAGTTACTCCAACTTTACCACCTCCAACTCTAATCAAGCTTTTTCCCTCAGAACCCTTTAATTGGAAGGACAAGACCTGTAGACTATACCCAGCTTCTCCCAGCCTCCAGTGGAACCAGCTGCTGTGCCCTCATCACCAATGCTTATCACTGTGTCTCCACCTCCAATATACTCTCCAGCCTATTTTAATGGCTGCAACAGCAATGATGACAGGTGATGGCAATGATGAACAAGAAGTGGTTTTTGAAATGGATCTCGAAAGCATTTGGTTTCAAAACAGGTGATTCCTTTAGCTCATCTCCATTGCTGCTCCAGTGCAGAAAACTTACCAGACAGATAACAGCAGAGACCATCTGGAAACACCTTTCTCACAAGCAGCTTTGCAACTAGCTCTTCAAGCCTTGCAGGGGCTTCTTTCTTGGACTGCCCTTTTCCATTGCTTCCACCTAATTTCGGTTTCCTTGAAAAGACAAGGTACCCTGACCGGGAGTCTCAATCTCAAAGTTATTTTGATCATGAGAGTAATAACACTGTAGTCAAAAGGAGGGCACCAACACTTGCGAAGCTGATAATGGTGAGCAGGAGTTATCAAAGAAAGGATGTTCAAATAAGAGTGCAGCATCTATTAATGTTAATTCTAAGTTTTCCTGCTCCGTGTTTTGCCATTACTATTGCCTGTTTAAGCTGATATAGAACAAATGACAAAGCGTGTCCAAAAAATTACTGCTTTTTCATTAAAGGAAAGGAGCAAAAATTATGCATTTCAAATGTTCTTTCTTTTCTTTTGTCCAAAAACCAACATCATCACCTTTTGACACTAGCTTAAAAATAAAAAAAGTAATATTTCTAACTATACTTTGCTCAAGATCTGCTAATGACATTCTACTCGTCTGAATGAAACTATGACAGAAATTTCTCAAGGAAAGAGCTCCTGGATGCTGAATCTTTGGAACTGGCATCAAATTTATCAAAGGATTGCAACTGAAGAAGTTCCAACCAAGACTGAAATTCTTGTAGAAAAGGCCAAGAGGGCCAATCGGCTTTACTGTTCAAGACCACCCTAAAAAGTACATCAAGAAGCTTCCAAATTATTTACTCTTGCATCGGAAAATTAGGATATAAATGATCTTACAAGCCTGGAAGGCAACAATGCTATAATTAAGCTGCAAGAACTCCAAAGGAGTCATCTTCGTTGAAGATCCAACTTAGAAATTGTGCATGCCCACATCCTCTTGTATAGTTGCAGGAGGAATATCTACGACTGAGAAATCCTACCAGTGATCAATGCAAACAACTTGAATTTAAAAGATTTACAGTATTTTCAACTGCATGATGCATGGGTATCAGCAACTTTTCGAATCCGTTCCATAACTACAGGAATATCCTCCTGAGCTAAGGTTGTAAAACAACATCGGAACCATCCTGGTTCTATGCAGTGGCAAGCTGAACCAGGAGTTATATTGATCTTAGCCACATTCAATAGCTTATCCCATAGCTCAAGTTCTCCTTTCTCACTGTAAGAGGGGATTAATTTGCTCATATCAGCCCAACAATACAAGCCAGCACTGCTCTCTCCACATCTAATACCTAATACTTTCAGACCAGCTACAAATAAATCACGCATATTTTGTATCCTCTTTTTATTGGTTTCAATATATTCCTCAGTGAATCTTGTATCCGAAAGCATTGAAACTAGTATCCTTTGGGTAGGAGCAGAAATAGAAGAAAACCTAGTTAACTTTCTAGCAGCTGCCAAAACATTCTCATTAAATGAATAGATCATTCCAACCCTAAATCCTGGAAGAGAAAGGTCTTTTGATAGCCCATAAATTATATGAACCCTGTCTTTATCAAAATTCTCTGAATCAAGAACTTCAGCCATGCTGACAAACTTTTCATTCCCATACATAGACCCTGCAAATATTTCATCTGATATGATATGGAGGTTCTTTTCTTGAGCAAAGTCCAAGAGACCATGAAGCATCTCTCGAGAAAGTAGATTGCCAACAGGATTTGCAGGGTTTGAAAGGAGAATCCCTCGAATTTTTGTTCCTCGTTTTCTTGTCTGGTTGAATGCTTGATCAAGTGCAGTGATACTTAATATGAAATTGTCAGTGCTACGACAATGGACAGGTATTAGCTCCACTCCTGTTCGCCATTTCACATCCCTGTCAAAACTGCAGATACTTTTTCTAATTAATCCAATAGGACCATCAGTTTCCTTTCTTTCATACTTTACCCTTTTGTGTGTGTGTTGGTGGGGGAAGGGGGGGGGGGGGAGCTTTTCTGTTAGAAAAAGAGTATTTATAATCATATAAAGTCTTAGAATGAAGGTCAAATAGTTACCCAGGATAATAAGGTGTGGGAACAAGAAATGCATTCCCATGGTCTGCCAAGCAGAAGCATAATGTCTCAATTGCCGGAGTCGCACCGGCAGTTAAAACCATCTGTGAAGGTTCAAATGAGACAGCTCCTCCCATAACACGAGACATAAAACCTGCCATAGCCTGCAAAATCCAAACAACAGAACAAATAGAAATAACACCAGACAGTCTCAAAGGCATTCCTATGGCTATTGAGAGCTGAAAGAATAAACTACGAAAGCATACTGCTTCCATCATAGCTCTACGTCTCTTAATCTCTACCACCAATAAGAATGAATGTACAGAAAAAGAGAGGAAAGTTAGCTCCACTATATAAACACTCTACAATCTATTCAGTATGTAAATATAAATGCAAATCTTCAGTTTGCAACAATGTATCTGACAGTTCCAAAAAAAAAAAAAAAAAGAGGACCCATACTCAGAAGCTTTTTCACAACATTAATTGGTTTAAAACTAAATTAAGAAATTGTTCTCACATAGCATCTTAGATTCTTAAGCTCTAAACCAATTAAATTTATTCATTTTCCATGTGCGCCTTTATATGATAACAATTAACACATAAAAGCATGCAAATTTATATCCCTATACACATTTTAACCTCTCTTTTCCACCAAAGATGGTACACAAAAAAGAATTCTCAGAAATTGCTCGTTATTCCCCACGAATGTTTTAACTTGTAATTGATTACATTTTCACCCACAGACTGACAACAGATAATTCAGCACCAAATATCAAATTCATTGCAAAAGTCAACAATTCAGGTGATTTGTTCAGACAGAAGATTAAAAATTAGAATTCCATAATAATTCCACATAAAAAGAGTTAGGAATTTATATTTTACTTGTCTTGTAAAGTAACAAATCCAGGGCTTCCAACATAAAACTAAAAGAAAACAAGTAAACATATACTAAACATTCGATAAACAATAAGTTAAAAGAATTATAGATATGTCAAGATTACCAGTTTGAGTTCCATTGTTCCGTCAATAGGCTGGTAAGTGGCAATCCCGCTAATGCTCAAATCACCACCCTCTTTTCTCATTATCGAATCGCTCAAGTTATCCAACATCCATTTCTTAATTAAATCAAAACACAACTGGAAAAGGAAAAACAAAACAAAGAAAAAACGGAACAATTAGAATTATCATACGCCAGGCAACGGGACCAGGTTTAAAAGCAATACTGACCCTATTCTCTGACAAGCCCAGCTGGATAACCCCATGCGGGTTACCTATTCTATCATACGGATCCTCCGAGGCCTTATCCAACCCGATATAATACGGCGAGTCGTTCGGTTTTGCAATGGAAATGGCCCGGGAAGATATTCGAGCCGGTCCAATCGAGCCGCGTGACAAGGTTCTCGTCATCTCCGCCAGGGTCGATGACGACGTGGAGCGAGAAGGAGGACTTGACTGAGAGTTCGGAGAACGGTTTCGTTTGAGGTAGAGTTGGAGGAAGTAGAAGAGAGCGCATGGGATAAGAGAGCCGAGGATTAAGCCTCCTCTTCCTTGAACCACGCCTTGGAGAGGTACTATGAGACGCATGACGGTCGCTCCGGTGGGTTTTCAGGTTAGAACTTCGGATTCTGGGTTGGGAGCGTTGGATAGAGCGGGTCAGGATCATGACCCACCGGAGAGGAGAAGTTTGTCGTTCGAGAAAGTGCCACGGTTAGGCAAGCGATTGCGGCAGATGGCAAGGCGAGGGAGGGAACAACAATACTAGTAAAAAGAATGCTGAAAACCAAAATAATCTAGAGTAAATGGTGACGTGAGTTTAGAGCCGTTCGTCATAAAAAGAAATATTTATATTTATATCTAGAAAGAGAGAGAGAGAGATGAGATGAGCTTTGCGCCGATTCGGTGGTTCAGAGACTTCAGATCTTGACATCTTGTTGAGGTGGTCTGAGTTTACAATAATGTCCCTATCTACACTCCATTACTATTTCCTCCTTTCTTTATTAAAAAGAATAAATTTTAAATTCTATTTTCTTTTGTACTTACAAAATCTATTTTTCTTAGATTATTACATATCATGGGAAATGAAAGTAAAATAAATAATAGAACCCAAAGCTTATTTTAATTAATTTATGTGATTATCTTAAATAACAGACAATAAATTTAAAACTCAATTTTTAATACTTGTAATTTTATCTTTTATCTTTAAATTATAATCATTTAAAAAAAATAAATAAGTAATAATTTTATATTTGCTAAGGCTAAAGCAAAAAAAAAAAAAAAAAACGAACCTTTTATAAATGTCTTATTGCAAGCAAGAAGCCAAGTAAAATATATATGACGGATGATGAGTTAAAGGTTTTTAGAGCAGTTAAAAAGAAATTAGCATTTTGTTGATCTTAGCGAATAGCATCTTCTTTGCGTCCCTTCAAAGAAAGCATAGCATACTTTGAGTCGATTCATGACTCTATGTTTATTAGGTACCCAGATATAAATGTGCTGTAATAAAATTTACAATAACTGAGTATATATTCGTTATTTGTAACTCAATTTAAATATTTCGTATAATCATATGTAAACATAATATTTAATAAATTTAAAATTTAAAATTCATCATTTGTAATTTTTTTTTTATTTGTAAAACTATATATCAAGTACTATGGTTGCTTTATTATTTGTTAATGCTTGTTTATGATTTTTCTTTTGTTAGTAATTAATTATTTGACCATGTAAAATTAGGAGTTTCATTTACATAATCATATATATATATATATATATATAATGAAAAGACTTTTATCTCATTTTTTGTTTATTTTTTTAATATTATGAAATTATGTTTTTTAATACTTTTTTATATTCCAAAATTATTTCACATATTTTTTATTTTTTATATTAATATTAAAAATCCTAAAACAACAAATTTATAATAAAAAGATTAATATTAAATACATCAAAATCAATTTTTTTCTTAAATTATGTTAAAATAAAAAAGACTAACAATTTAAGATGAAAAGAGTAATATACGATACTTAAATAAAATGAATATGAAGTAACTATAAAAGCTATCCTCAAAAGAATTTGAGTTGGCTTTCATAAATTAGGGAAACAACAATTTAATGTATCAATTATGTACTACAACTTTGCAACATAAGTTATTGGAAACATTAATTATTATTCAAACCTCTAATACTAAAATTATAATAATTAACAATTTATAATTATCCTTGAAATATGATTAATTAACCAAGAAACAGTTGGACGGTCCGCATATATATCTGCATATTGGTATGAAAACTAGAGTTGGCATCGGGGCAGGGCGGGGCGGTTTTTTGCTTTCTCTGCCTCCGACCCGATGCTTCAATGTTTTTATCTAATACCCAACTCGTCTCCGCTCGGAGGTTGTTATTGAAAAACCTAATCCCGACCCGCTAGAATATTATTTATCCGAATTTAATCCGACCTGACCCGAATTCAATCTACTACCTATTTAAATTTACCAAAAACATAATAAATTATAATCTAAATATATTACAAGCATTAATAAATTTAAGATAATCACTTACAAATTCAAACTTAGTACATACTATTTTTTTATCTAGTAAAAATCTCATAACTTCTCATCATAAATAATAGAATTATAAAATACATAAAATATAATAAATTCAAACTCACAAATTCTTACAATAGATGATGGAATTATGAAATATAAAAAAATTAATAGACTAAAATTCAAATATCAAACAAGCATAAGTTAATAACTAAATTTAAACATAATACATGATACAAGATGAACATCAAAAGCTTAAATCACCACAATAAAAAGCTAAATTGTTTGAACATCCTTTCATCCAACATGATAAAAATCTTTCAAGACCACAATAAATCATTCCATCATCACTAAGCTCCATATCATCATTCTCTTCTAACCACACTAGTCCTATAAAATAAAACAATAAGATGAATAAATAAATTTCATAAAATAATATATTTAAAAATAATAATATAAAAAATGAATTAATTAAAAAAATAATATTATTTACCAAACTAGTTATCTTTTTCTCAATCTCACTCTTATCAACATCTTCGTAAAAATATTTTTCTTCAAATGAAATTGACCCTACAAATAAAATAATAAAATATTAACAAATAATATATAACAACAAAATATAATAACTAACAATATGTTAAAATAAAAAATAAAATTGCATAATATGCATTATTGTACCTTTTTCTTCAGCCCATAACCAATTTTGACAACATGTTAAAGCTTCTATAATTGATGGATGAAGTCTATTACGTTGTGCACTCACTAATCTCCCTTCAGTACTAAAAGTAGACTCTGAAGCAACAGTAAAAATCGATATGGCATAAATATATCTAACAATAAGTTGTAAGGTCAGAAATTGAAGTCCAGTTAGTTTCCACCAATTCAATATATCAAAATCTCCTTTTCTTGGTATGACTTCTTCATCTAAATAGCGATCTAACTCTGATTTTACTTTTGATTTTTTCTTTTTTTTCTTTGAAACAAAATCATCATAGTCTCCCAAATTTTCCAATTCAATAGCATCAACACCATCTAAGAATGAAAAGCTTGAACTAGAAGGTCCTTTTTTTTTTTTCAAAGCCAATTTCTCCTTATACTCCTTAAGCAAATCCCGACATATTTGTACAATCCTTTCAATTTCAAATTCAGTATTTTCTCTATAAGTCTTTTCAAAGTAATACTCCAACAACTCTATTTTGTATCTTGGATCTAAAATTGTGGCAACACCCATTATACCATGCACATCATTCCAATATTTTTCAAATTTGCCTAACATGCTCACAGTCATACATGAAATAATTCTATTGGTATGCATAATCCATTCATTCAATGCTAATATGATTTTGCAAATATTAGAAAAATAAAGATTTGCAGTAGCATATTTTGTGCCAGAAAAACCTTCAGTGATATCATAAAACAATTTCAACTTCTCACAAATCTCAGTTGCAATGATCCAATCATTTTCAGTTGGTAAATATTTGTACAAAGGATCACCATGTAATTGCACACAACGAGAAAAAACATCTTTATAAAATAAAGCTGTTTGAAGCATTAAGTAAGTAGAGTTTCATCGTGTTTTGACATCAACACGTAACTTTTTTAAAGTTAGAATGCGCAATTGACGCGCTGCCTCTTCAAATTTTTTTCATCTCTTTGGTGTAGCACTCCAAAAGAGGACACTATCACGAATTCTATCAATTCCATCTCCAATCACACTCAATCCATCTTTCACAATCAAATGCAAGATGTGTGCACAACAACGCATATGAAAAAAAGTTCCATTAAGCAAAAGTGCATCACAACCAATTCTATCAAATAACAACTCAATAACACCATCATTCACACTACAATTATCCACTGTAATAGATGAAAGTTTTCTATCAATATTCCAATCTAAGAAACATTTCATCAAACTTGAAGTAATGACCTCTTTCGTATGTGGAGTTGGCACATATTCAAACCTAATTAAACAATTAATTATTTACATTAATTTAATAATTAATTCAATAATAATAATTACTTAATAAAAAACGAACAATATCAAAATAAGACAATTTAATAAAATATACCTAATGATGCGTTTTTGTAAGTTTCATTGATTATCGATGTAATGAGCAATGACAGCTATGTATCCTCTTTTTTGGTGATCAGCAGTCCACATATCAGTTGTGATAGCAATTCTTCCTTCATTAGCTTTCAACTTAGATATTGTCTTTGCCTTTTTCTCTTTGAAAATCTTTAAAATATCACTTTTTATAGTATTTCGAGAAGGCATAGCAAACAAAGGTTGGAGACTGTAAGAATACTTTTCGAATTGCACATAATCAACCATTGATAAGAGGTATTCATGATTTATTATCATCTTGGCAAGCTCCCTCCTTGTGACATTTTGATCAAAAAAAGTTTTTTAATGTTACTTTTCCATCTGCCTTCCTTTGATTTGCTAGCAACACTTGTGACGAATATCCATTTGAAATCGTTTGTTGCACCTCTCTGAATGATCACGCAAATGACTTGTCCCATTCTTAGAAACACCACCAAGTTTTTTCTTACAATAATTGCATATTGCCTTCATTCATTATTGATCTTCTCTTTTCTAAAATGTTTCCATACTTTTGATTTTAACTTACTTGCGTTATACCCACTATTATCAACTTCAGCACCCTCATTAGTCACACTTAATGATGGAGTTGTATTTTCGTCAGATGTTGGAATGAGAGTTTGTTGAATTGGTGACTGATGTGAGGTAGAAGTAGAAGGTGTTGGAGAACACGAATTATCTCCCAAATTAGACATTTCACCTTCATTCATAAAAAAGAAAAGTTAGAGTTATTATTTTTTATATTAACAAATAAAGCAACTAAATAAATTAACTGTTACTAAAAGCATAAGGATAACTATTCTTTTTCACGTTTCTCAGCATCCATTTCTCAAGACTTTAATACTGTACTTAAGTTTTCTTAAATTTTTTAAAAACGAAACTGGAATTCCAACTTGCCATTGAAGATTTTAGGCCTATCATACATTAGAGAGCATGATTATTTTTACTCATTTTTTCTTGCAAAAAGAAAATAACAGTAAAAGTCTAGTGTAATAATTCTTTCCTTTGATAGTTCATATCATCAAATTCAAACAATTAATCTAGCATTGACTCCAAGCAACATAAGCATTTAATCACAAACTTGAAGATAATGATTTTATACAGACTCTTCTAGGTTGAGACCACAAGTAAAATAATATTACACATTCTCCTATTGTCACAACTAGAAGCCTCAAAAGTAATACTATAAACCTAAAACAATGACACTGGCAACATTCAATTCAAGTATATTATATTGAGGTTTAGACATAGATTCACAAGGACATCATTCAAAAAATTTAGAAGGAAATTTAGGCACGTAGAGAGAAAAAGAGAGAGAGAGAGAGAGAGATTATAATGTATGTCATGGAATCTACACATCAGAAAAGAACAGTGAGTAGCAAAGTTTGACAGGCAGGATTTTCTCAATCCAAGTTAAAATTGTAGTAACAAGAAAATGACAAGGATTAACTTGAAATTTGAACAATACTATAGAAAGAAGTAAATACCATAAGTCAAGCCTGTAAAAGATTCAGCTAAAGCTAAAAAGAAATGGTTAAAAATCCTAAAGGCTCACAACAAAGTAATGTATGAATGGTCAACCAAATCTAAAAACATGCCAATAATTTTACTTAATAACAGATAATTCACAGGTCCAATTTTAATTACAAAGCATGTCTAAGTATCAATACCTTCATAAGGATAACGTTATATGTAGAGACACCTGTTATGGGTGTTGAACTTCTATTTAACTTTTAGTAAGTAGACATATTTTATTAGCATTTTCTATTGACAGAAATTTAATTTATTTGTATTATTAGCCTAGTATAATAATTTACTGGATAATATAATGCACACTTTTGCCATCCACGTGTTGTTCTAATGGTAGCAGACCATCTAAAAATAACTAAATTTAATCTAAACATTGACTGATCAAAGGAATTGTTACTTGTGCCTTGTCAGTGAAATCCTGGTTACTTCTTCTGACAGGCTGTCAACGCCTAAAAGTGGGAATCTTTGTAGCTCTAAGATAGTTTTCATCCTACATGTGTTTTGATGTAATTAAGGTTTGCAACGTGTTTGAATTGTTAATGCTTTTGCAAGTTTTATTTACGTACTGTAATATTGCAAGTTTTCTTTTTTCTCTGTGGTAGCTGCACTTGTTTGTGTTACTGATTTTGTTCTTTTATAGCAAGACAATATACACATTTTGTGCATAATCTATCCTGAACTATAGCAGCATGGTTTTGTATTCTACATTTTACATTCCCATTTTACCCATTTTATTCTTGGTTTTACTTCATGATTGTTTCAAAATTCAAAGTAAGCCATATAACACTAACATCGTATCTGCAGGTAATCCAGTATTCGCATTCTGCTTTAAATATCTTTGGCAGTTGTCCATCTTGGCTCACTTACCTCAGGTTTGATATTTTCCTTTCCAACTAAAATTCTATATCGACTCAAACAATATTGTAGCTGACTTAACCTTTAATTTCTCTAAAAAACTACCAGTCTTTTCATATTGGTAGTTGGTTGACTTGTGGTACTTAAATTTTGCTATCTATATATTATTCCACTTAAAATAAAAACACTTCTGAGTATTCAATTCAAGAACCAAGCCATTAAGGCCTCAGTATGTTCAATCATTTTGTCTTGTCTCTAAGCTATTAGCAAGCATTTAAGAAAAATACATAATAAAAAATATTGATACTTGTAAATAAGATATGTAAAAGAGATGGCTTTGGCTTACCTTAGAATTATTGGTACTAATGGAGATTACTCAAATGAAGGCTTAGCTGTTGCAGACTTACAGTTTTTGTTTCTCAAAAGGGGAAACGACCGCCGTTGACTTCTTCTTGTTGGCTTAAAAGTTTTTTTTGCTGAAATAGAGGAAAGATTCGAAGGAAATGGTAATGGATGAAAGCTAAATAGAGGAAAAAATGTGAGAGGTCAGAGGTTGTATTAGCTTGAGTGTTCTATTAACAGAGTTAATGACAATAGTGCAGCGTACAAGGTACGAAGACTTTATCATCACCTTTGCTTCAGCGTATGAAGGCTATCGCTTCTATCTTCCTGCCTTTATGGACTATAACCCTGACGAAATAGATGTTAGGGCAGTCGTTTCGGCATTCATTGAGAATGTGGACCCTGATTAGCAGCTTCCTGCACAACAGGCCTAGCGGGAGGCATAGCTTGTTCTCCTGGTTGCGGTTGATTGACCGATGGGGTACTTTTACTACGCCCGGAACTGGATGCGCCCGAATCCGGTTCCAACAAGACCCGTTCTTCGAAACTCGTCCAGTCGCCCACCTGTCCGGGGTTGATCCGTCGGAAGAGATGCATCAACGTCAGTGTCATGCTATGGGTGGAAAATTTTTTTTGAAGAGATCATGAAGTTTAAAATTCGACTGTAAATGCACCAAATCTGAAGGTGATAGTACCACTAACACCCACTGCACTGTCTGATAAGAGAAAAATCAAGCGTCGAAAATTAATTGGGTGAAGATTTTTTAGATTCAACCATATGGATAAGATTTTCAGTTAGATTTTCACTACCTAATGCGGAGAAAGGATATGAAAGAATAAAACAGGGTCTGCCGAAAGAAACAAAGTTCAAAAACCTTAAAAGAAATTACTTATATATATAGGAAGGGTATTTTACGCCCGAATCCGGTTCCAACAAGACCCGTTCCTCGAAACTCGCCCAGTCGCCCACTTATTCGGGGTCAATCCGTCAGAAGGGATACGTCAGCTTCAGCGTCACGCTATGGGTGGAAGAAAATTTTTGAAAAGATCATGGAGTTTAAAATTCGGCTGTAAATGCATCAAATCTAAAGGTGATAGTATCACTAACACCCACTGTACTGTCTGATAAGAGAGAAATCAAGCGTCGAAAATTAATTGGGTGAAGATTTCTCATATTCAACCATGTGGATAAGATTTTCAGTTAGATTTTCACTACCTAATGTGGAGAAAGGATATGAAAGAAAAAAACAGGGTCTGCCGAAAGAAATAAAGTTCAGAAACCTAAACAGAATTACTTATATATATAGTAAGGGTATTTTACGCCTGAATTCGGTTCCAACAAAACCCGTTCCTCGAAACTCACCTAGTCGCCCACTTACCCGGGGTCGATCCGTCGGAAGGGATACGTCAGTGTCAGCGTCACGCTATGGGTGGAAGAAAATTTTTAAAGAGATCATGGAGTTTAAAATTCGACTTTAAATGCACCAAATCTGAAGGTGATAGTACACTAATCACCCACTGTACTGTCTGGATAAGAGAGAAATCAAGCATAATTGGGTGAAGATTTCTCAGATTCAACCATGTGGATAAGATTTTCAGTTAGATTTTCACTACCTAATGTGGAGAAAGGATATGAAAGAATAAAACAGGGTCTGCCGAAAGAAACAAAGTTCAGAAACCTTAAAAGAAATTACTTATATATATAGTAAGGGTATTTTGATAAATATTTAGGGTCGGGTCGAGTTTCACATAAATCCGACCCGACCCGAATCCGACATTCCAAAAAATAAAACTGACCTGACCTGAAACCCGTTTTTTCAAAAAAAAAAATCCGCCCTTAAATAATTGGATCGGGTCGAAACCCGAAGATTTCAGGTTGATTTGCCGACCCTAATGAAAACACCAGTTGAAAGCACGGTATTTTATTTATTCTCATTAAACGTTGATATTGCAACCATAAGAAGAAGCCATGAGCATAAGTCGCCAATATTGGCTGGACTAATAGCCATTCTTCCGATGTCGGAGCGGAGGTCTGCAAGAAATCGAGCAAGAACAGGGATGTTTGTGGATGTCAAGAGCAATGGCCCAAAACATGGAACCCCTACTATCAAACTCTTCGGAGTTGCTTATCACTATGAAATACAATCCAAAACCGACATGAAGCGGCCGCAGTGGCAACACTTGGGGCCGAGTCCCAGAATGCAAGATAAGGGGAAAATCCATCTCTAATCCAACCAAAAATATGTAGTACACCAGGCCCTCTACCAGCGTTATTGTTCTATGAGGGAGGATATTTGAGAATTGGGTTTCCCCAAACACGACTGGGCCAAAGAGTAAACCACACTTCATCTACGCGGAAACCAATACAATCAATGCATCAATTTTTAATAAACTTTGAGCATTTCTTTGATTAGTGATTGAAAATTGTTAATTGTTTTTTAGTACTCACAATGATGTGGGCTCTGGCGTAAAGGCTTGAGGATGAGTATAAAATACCCCTTCTCTCTATTGTTTATGAAATTTCATTTTGAATATTTATCTTCAGAAGCACTCATGTTTATGCCGCACTCATCGATACCCTTTCGCTCTTCTGATCTCTCTGATGCCAATTGGGATGCCAAGTTCAGCAGTAGCAACTGGAAGAAAATTCAACAAAAGGAAATTATCATCATTTTACTACCATTAATTTACAGCTTGCCGCTATATTTGGTATTTGGCTAGCTGTTTTCCTTCACTCTTGGTCTCGGAAATCTTTACATGGAGGGTTGCTCTGGTTTTAACTACGTAACATAATAATTAAGGTGTACAGCTATTTTATCTTCATTAGTCAAAATTATATTCTTGGGATTAGCCAGTTAATATATATTTTTAATAAATATAATAATTTATATATTTATATTTATATATTTTATATTTTATATTTATAAATTATAAAAATTATCATATCATAATTTTATATAGATATTTTTTTTAATAAGATAAATCTAAAGATAAATAAATTATTTAGTTTTTAGATCAAAGTAAAATGTATTATACAATTTAAGATAAATAATTATAAATTATGTATTTAAAATTATTGCAATAAAAATTAATATAAAATTTGAATTTAAAATTTTTTATTAAAAAAATAAATTTTAATTAATTAAATTAATCACTTATCAATTTATATTTTTTATATCATATCATCGTATTCTCTTATCTAAATTTTAGACTATCAGACATAAATTTTAAAATAAATTTGGTGAATAATGTCACATTGAAAAATGAAAATCTTGTAGCCAACAGATTTGAAGTGTGGACACCTTCGTCTAACAGTTTTGTTGGTTAGTAAAATCATTGTCTGGATTTTGAATTCCGAGGAGCGTGCTGTATCAGTTTTTGCCAAAAAGCTAATCTTGGCTGTCCTCCAATCCAACCAAAAAAAAAAGAATTGAAAAATATGGCAAGTTGTGAGATCTGAACATAGAAAATCAAAATCTTGAAGACAACGAAAGAGCATGGAAGAGAAGAAACCGTCGAGATGCAGACTCTGAAGATTTTGTCATTTCGCAGCCCCAATCAACAATCCGTCTGACAATCCCTGCAGTAAGAGACTCTTGTCACGCAGAAAAACCATTGCCAGTTCAAATTACGAAAAAGGACAACACACTTTGCCCTTGTCAATTTTCCATCGCTGACAAATATGGGCATAATTGTAATTGTGATCCCCCATGCAATTGCGTGAACAACTTTATCCACCAAAATATTTTTAACAGATTCCGACCCCACCAATTCAAAATTTTTGGACGCTTCTTCTATAAAAAGGACGTTGGTTTTAACTTCTTTCTTTCCTCCTCCTCTTCGATACTACATTCGTCTGACGAAATTGTCGCCGTTCACTTCGACACGCATATCAAAATTGGACGATACAAACAAAAACCCCATCGCCCTTTCTTTTCATAGAAAATTAGGGTTTCGGTCAATCAATCATTAATTTTTTTTGTTTCCTAGTTTGATCCCACATTTTTTAAGAGATACGGGGGGAAAACCAATCCAATGGAATTTTGAAACACTTCGAACTTTCTCTCTCAATTTCGGAGCCTGTTCGAGAGAGAAAGAGGTTTCGCAATTTTATGATTATTTTTTGTTTGTTTTCTTGCCTAAAGCAACACAAACAAATCTGTACGCTCCAAGTTTTAAAGAAAAGGGACGGAAAAAGAAATAAAAAATGTCAAGATCAGATAAATAAAGAAATGGTTGAAAGGAGGATATTTTAAGTGCAGTGGATTTGCAGAGAAATTTTGGGTGAAAAAATGGACGATGAAATCGATGATGAAAGGGAGGAATTTTTTTCCATCGAAGAACCGAAGGAGGTGGAAAAATGTTTTGATATCAAATACGAGTTTGATGCACCCCAATGCTATGATTTCAATCGGCCAGAAACAGATTGGGAGGCTGAAGAAGCCGAGCTCTGGTTTGAATCAGCTGGAAGCTATCCGTCTTCGCGTAAGCCTTTTCCTGTGTTTTTTTATCAAATCATTATGCTATCAAAAAGCTTTTCATTGTAAACTGTCATAGGAATCTTATATGGTTTATTAATTTTCAGCTTTTGTGATAAAATTGAACTGGAGATATGATATAAACGGGGATGGAGAATTTGGCAATGGCTCAATAGATTCTGATGAATATGACGCGGGTACATTCTTGTCTTTATCATTTTTTATTGGCATCATATTT